ATCAAAATTTGCCGAGACAAATGGTTTACATTGAAATATCGCATATATGAACATGATGTAGAAATATGCAAGATGAGCAACCAGTGTCGCGATGGCTTAGTAAAAACGATAATATTGTAGCAGCGGAGGCTGACCGTTGAAAAGAGTAGGAGAAGAAACTTTCTTCCAGTAGCCATAGCGAATGGTCGAAAGAGTGACGAATCGCGACGTAACGGAGTAGCACATAATTTACCTTAGTAAATTTGAGCTCCAATTGAAAGCACGACGATGTTCAATTGCTCTTTGCCGTTATCCGGATATTCTTCCAAAATTCGGCCCTTCGTTCCTCGTAAATCGGACGCATTTCACACTTTTCATCAATGACCAGATGGCTGAAGATGGCTGAGTGTAATAAGCGCAAAGAAAGCTGGCGAATAGCCGCATCTGTGCAGGCTTTCACAGAAAGACAAAATTGATCTCAGCGAACTGAAAAATGTCTATGTGAATTGTTTTACCTGCCACACTCTTGTAAGGTTACCGGTTCCCATTTGAAGTCGAACACTGTTGAGTCTTCATAGGGCCCGTTTGGGTTTCTGCAGTGACTATTCAATATTATTGTAAATCACTAATGCTTCGGGAACGCAAGCTTTCAGGTGTTTTTGTAAAGGCTATCTGCGGGATGGCACTATACACCAAATATCAGGCTTAAAGGAATCTTCCACGGACCATGGACCAGTGGGCGGGACCGGAAGTTTTTGTGACGAAATGCATGGTAGGTACGGATCCACGTGTCGAACGCACGAACGTGAACAGGATTCACTTCAAACCTTCCCATGAACGTGGATCCGTACCTACCATGCATTTCGTCGCAAAACCACTTCCGGTCCCGCCCACTGGTCCATGGTCCGTGGAAGATTCCTTTAAGTAACAACTACTCGTACACGATTCACCACCTATCACGAAGAGCACTAAAAAAAGAGCTCACCCATATTTGGCGAAATTAGTCCACATTCGCGTCATAAGGTCGATCATTCGGTTATCAGCATCAGTAAATTGAAATCCAAACAAAAGCGATACTCCAAACAAGTAGGTTAGTTCCGTACAATGGGTTGCACCTGAAATTAGCTCATGGAACAAAGTAGTACACAACTGCGATTCTCAAGTCCGCATTCATCCCAAGCTTCAATGTCGTTCAATCCTTCTCGAAACTCTCGGTTGCTACGTTGAATCACAAGTAAGTGCCGGTTTGGCACCAGCCTACAAAATTTCACAACCTTCTTGAGAATTATCTTTATTGGTTGCCATATAGACCACACTGTTCGAATCTGACCTTCATCTATTTGCAAGTGAATGAGTACCTCATCTTGAATAATGCAGCCTACGATGCAAAAAATGCGACTGGACGTCGATTCCGAGGTGTTCGTGATCGTAGTAGTTTTTCTCCTTCAGGGAATGAGCAAGCAAGGGGAACACTGGTGCCTGATTGATATATCATCAGTGGATTATGAAGAGCGGGGGAGAACCATGAATGTTCTATATGATATATAGGCACTCGCTCATGTCATGTGGACTGCAAACTGCTGCGCAATGGAACAGTTTCATCAACTGTAACAGCTAACTTGGCGATACCCAAAGCAGCTGCAAGCAATAGGTGCCTGTGCAAGCAAAGGTGACATTGGTTGAAGTCTGAAGTGCGAAGTTCACCACTCACTGATGATCTGCATGCCCCTAATTGATGCGTTTGTGTATTGCTTGAATAGACTGCGCATTTCTTACCACAGTGACCCCTTGTCAAGCCTATCGAAACTGTGACTTTACAGAGCAAACTTTGGCAGATATTCACACGTGTCCTCGGAGCAACCCCATATAACTCGTGAGGACTTCATCTTCCCTACCTGTACAAGTTTTCCAAGCTCAAAGGGCACAACGCATGAGCTTGAGAGGCCTGAAGGCCCACTGCGATGGACGTGCACTAGCGCGCTGCACAGGTTGATTTCAAGAAGCCCTTGGATGCGAACAGTATCTACAGTAAGTGGGTGTCCGGAACCAGATTGGCCTTCAAGGTTGAGGTCTTCCTGACAAAACCTACCAAACCACTTTCTCTTTTGATGACTGTTTTTTTCAGTTTCTCATATATTTTGATGAGCTTCCCTCGCTTAGTGCTCCAGATAGAGGTCCT